TCGTCAAGTATGCTAGAACTGTGCCGCTATTTAAATATTCTAAAAATACAGCACAGTGCCATTTACGGTATATTCCTGCCTATCAAACATGATAATTATTTTTTTGCTTTGTTTTATTAGTTTTTGAGAATCTGAGCGACACGAGGAATGCATACTTTTTACAATATTTAATTTTTTTTTTCAGATTCTAAGCGAAGAAGCTTATGGTTTTACAATGGTAATTATTTTGTATGTGTTTTTTTTATCTGTGCGCAACTTTTTGACCAGAAACCTTGCTCCGATTTTAAGTCTAGTTACTTTTTTAAAATAAAATTGGACTGGCGAAGTGTATTAAGTTGGTCATTTTTCGATCTTCTCGAGAGTTTTCTCATCGAATGTGAAAAACCGGAAATATAACTTAAGAAAACCGGGAAAACGGAAATATCAGTGCATTAAACAAATTTTATTAAAGGAGCGAGGGAAAACGGGAAAGTGTACGAAATAAATTAGTAAAATATTACGATTTTTTTTTCTTTGCATAACTTTTCTATCACCAATTTTGATCCGATTTACAATGATAGCACTTTTAAATATAAATATGTTTTCAGTATTACTAACAAAACAAAATTTATTACCTTGATATTGAACATCATTTTGCATTCTGATTAGTTGATCTCTATCGTCTTTCTTTACAGGATTTTGGTATGTTTGGAAAGTTTTTTGTCAGGCTTCGCACATTAATCCTCGTAATAATGTCATATCATTTGTATATATTTGTATATTCATACCATCATTCTGTTTATTTTATTAATTTATCATTTAAATCTGTATTGTAATATAGTACAGAGAGATTTTCAAATAATATTTACAAGTATTTCAAGTAGTATACCTAGTTATTATTTTAAATTGTAGAATTGAAACTACCGGACAACACAAACGGAAAGTAGAAAAAAAAAAATAATCTGGTTTTCTAAGAAAACGTTGATGTCNATACGTGGCTGACGCGGCCCGGTGGAGCTCTTTATTGTCCTTGTTTTACGTTATACATTGAATAATTTATGGTTTTCAAAAAGAATCGGACGTTTTTATAACGAAGAAAGGTTCGAGGGGAAAAAAAATATGCCGCCTTCGACAACGTATATATCATGCTCCCCGCGGAGCTGGTGACCCGTCCTATAACTATCGAAAAAATGTCCTTATGCGACGTATTTTATTATTGCATACTCACCCTCTTCTAATAATTTCGGACAATTCTCAAACCCCTCGGGTGGGTCGGTGGGGGGAGGGGGTACTTTTGCGTTTTTATATCTTTTGAAATTAAACATAATATGTGCGCATTATGTGAGTCGCCGCCGTTCGAGTCGAGACAGTAATAATGTAATAGTTACCTGCTGTGCAGCTGTTTGGCTGGCATCAAGACCTCAACATAAATTAATCGGAGGGTTAACGAATACGGAGAATCTATTCACACACAAACCTATTGTCATGCATCGTACAGCTAGAACTCGGACCTACGAGTTTTATCATGTATCGTGCAGATGGCACGTTTATGATATATATAAAATAATAGAAATATACACATAGGTTCCTAGTTTTCATACTACAATATTATTAAATATTTAAAATATGTATAAAATAGGACGGACATTCTTGTGGCACGTGTTTTCTACCACCGCTGTGTGTGGAAAGTTGAGAACGTAGGATACAAAAGGGAATTTAATGTATATCTGTAAAACACGAGAAACATTGCTTTTTATGTCAATTTGACCTTTAACACTTGACAGTGTCACGTATTTATAACGTAATATTAAAGAAATTTGTTTTTGTGCTATCGTGTCTATACACAGGTTTTCGCTGTATTTAAAGTTGTTTTATCTGATGGGCATCACATTCGTGTTCGAAATGATCTCGTGGGCTGTGACGGACGCGGTAAACTCGCTCCGTGGCGTGTTTGTGTTCTTCATATTCTGCTGGAAACGATCTGTGCTCAATTTGTTGCTGGACCGGACGCCTAAATCGACGCGACATTTTAGCGGTAGTGGGACCACTGCAAGTATGAGAACACTCGGGTCGATGGTGTCCACGCATATCGTCTTAGGTGGCAGTGGCAGCGGTGGCGACAGCAGCACTACTTCATTTCAGCTTTCGCAATTCGGCAGTAACACATCGATGGTCACATTAGGAAAATTGTCATCACCACGTTAGTGAATATAAATGAAATTCTGGTCTAAACCCCCCCCCCCTCTAAACACACGCGTATAACGAGTACCGTTTACCTGTCGACCGGCAGCTGCAGCGCGTCATTGAATAACCATCTGCCACCTAACTTCTTCCCAAAAATCACACAGACCGTCGATAACGTCCCTTTGTGTCGGTTAGGGTCGATCCTAAACCATCCACAACGAGGAAATAAATTAAATTCGAGCCACATATATTTAATAACGTTTATATAAACTGCCGAAATATCGGTTGAACACTAATGTCACTAAAAGGTTTATGATAATAAGTAGATGCCGTCGGTTTTTTTTTTCATTTACGTTCGTTAAACATTGTTTCTAAAACAGGCAATACATAAGTTACTGTACCGAAAAACATGACGCGTCTATACAGACCTATATTAAATATAAAATAACCATAATACGAATATTTATATACCAATTGTATACGGGATGATGAGAATGGTATGTTAAAGCAATTTTATCCAGTAAATACTAAAAATAGTGAAAAAAAATGTTTGATACAAAAGTTTCTTTATTTAAAAACACTTTTTTTTTACTTTACTGAATTGTTTGGGTGGTGTTTGAGTGTTAAATTTTGAAATTAAAATAGTTTAGTTAGTTGGAAAGTGGTTGCTTGTGTAGTGGCCCGGCACGACGCGCGACGGTTATATTATATCACATTTTTATTTTTATTCCTTAAGTACAAAATAAAATATATTTTATTTATTCGCTTCAGAAAATTTTCAAAATAGATTTTTTGTAAACAATATTATTGTAACATTTTAATGTATACATTCATATGCGATTGATTTTTTCTTAATTAAAGCCGTTTTAAATTCAAGAAAATAGGCGAGAAAACAATTAATAAATATTAGATAAGTAAAGAACTACTGTGCTGATCGTAATTCCTTATTGCATAACGTGTTGTTTTATAAAATTTTAATTATATTAATTTGTAATTAAAACGGTTATAATTAAGAAATTATTCAGCGGATATGAATGTGTGATGCATTAACATTATTTGAATATTTTTTTTTTACAAAATGTTTTATAGTGAATAAATAAAAAAAACTTTTTTTTTTTGTAGAGGATGAAAATAAAAAATTTATTTTTCTCCAGATCGATGTAGGTGGACATTGATTTATCGAAGATAAACCGATTGAAAAAATAAAATTCGAAAATAATGTAATATTAACATTCTTGGAAAATCCGTTGAACATGGTGGGTCATAATATATTATATTAATGTGTACTATATCCGATTTTAAATGACGTTCCTAAACATCTGTCAGATGTTTTCAAAAGATCACCGCAGGTTTTTATACGGTTCACACAGTAAACATTATTTACTTTTTATTATTTACTGACGGTCAACCGGTGACGTTTATTGAAGATTTTGATAAAAACCAATATTTTAGTATCGTTATAAATTGTTATAGTCATTACACACTCGTACCTATATTCATTATCCTTGACATCTCCGCGTGTGGCCCTCGAGCTCTGTCGCCACAATATCCCCTGGCGTGCAGTTCGTTTCTATACAAGACCCGTATCATGTTAAAACCTAAGATAAGAATACAATTATATCATACTCGGTATAATATTAGTAATATTAGTAATATTATACAGGAAGTCAGGAAAAGTAATATGTGTATTAAATTATTATTTTATTTTGTTCCAATAAAAAAATTCTATTGTTATATAATACATTGACAAGATAATTATGTTATAAAAAATTTAATAACAATTTATGTTTTTAATCAATTTTTATTAATGGTGTTGTTTACCTATCCACATATCTAGGTATACAACAATGTCATTATAAAGCGATACAAATTTTCTTTGTTTTCCCAACAGTTTTACTATGAAATTTTACTTTACTTTTCTTAAGTCTTTACTTTAAGAGAATCTATATAATGTTTTTCTTTAGATATGATACGAAACGTCGACAATTAAAATATTGACAGGGTAATATGCCGACACTCAAAATATCGACATAAAAATAATCGTACGCCGAAATAACGTGTATTAAATCTCGGTACTTGTCATAATCTAATAATTTAAACCGATATAGCAATATTATTATCTAGCTTCATACAATACAGTGCAATACTAAAGATTAAGAGTTAGATTAAATTTTAATGACACGTATTGATAAAAATCCGGACAAAACGGTCGAAATCAAAAACTTACCGCAACATACAGTTAAAAAAAAACATAGTGACTATGTTAAAACAATTGAACTTAGAATAAAAATTAATTTACAATTTTAAAGGCAAGTTTAAGTATTATATATTTACTTTATACCTAATAAATATCAGTAAAATAGCTAATCAAACTTCCCGATTTTTTTTATAGTCGAAACAAAGTAACTTCAAAAAAACACTTTCTCCTATAATCATGCAGTCATGCGGTATGTGTGTAAAGGTCGGAGCACTTTTACTGGTTTTTATCGTGTATACATATTATAAAAACGATAAAAAAAAAAAAAAATTAATTAAATTTTGGATTTATTTATTTATATAAATAAATGTTGTGTAATAATTTTTATTAACAGATATTAATAGACGATTTTTTTTACTTCAATGAATAGGCCAAAATACATTTTAATTTGTTAATATTTCCTTAAATAATAATACATTTTGATTTGTTGATATTTCGTTATTTTCAATAATTGGAATGTCGGCATTTTGACCGGCTCCTTTTTTCCTGCCGTAATTTTCCAAAAAAAAATTCAAGACAAATTTTAAAATTTTACATTTTTTATCACTTGTAAAAAAGTGATTCGCTTTAATCATTTGATTTCAAAAATGTGACATTTTTTTATTCTATTTGTTAAATATTAAATAAATATATTTAAATTGCCCGACTCGTTAAGTTGTTACTTGTTTTATTTTAATAACCAAAATATTTAAATTGTAATTATTGGATAATTTAATAAATAGCTACATTTAATATAATAGTTTAATAACGTAAATAATTTTCGATAAACATTATTTTTGTCGTTTTAATTATTTATAGACTATAATATGAGAGGTTAAAGTTTCCACCAAATGAAAAAAGTTCGATTTTTGTTTAGATCAAATGTTTTTCAAAACCTCTAAATTGTAATTTGAGAACCATTTAAAGTTACCCAGACGCTAACCAATTAATGTGGATTATTTGTTGTTTACGTCCATGAAATACCTAATAAATTATCTAGTAGTAGTATGTACACGATACTATATATCCGTACATCCGAAAGGGGGGGGGCAGTAAAATTCGGAAAAATAATACACAGATAAATGATCTTTTGGATTTTTTTTTGCATGAAAGGAACGGACATTCTTGGCATACTTCTAGACATTCTTCTAGATATTCTTTTTTAAAAAATTTGAATGTATGCATTAATATCCGATTGATATTTTCTTAATTACAGCCGTTTTAATTCCTAGAAAGTAGGCGAGAAAACAATTAATAAGTAAAAGATAAGTTATGAGCTACTGTGTTGATTGTAATTTCTTATCGCATAACGTGTTATTTTATTAAACTTTAATTGTATTCATGCGTAATTAAAATGGTTATAATTAAGAAATTACTCCTCGGATATAAATGTGTGATGCATTAACATAGTAAGAATATTTTTTTTTACAAAATGTTCTAAAATTTGATAACATATTCTAAATAATCGTTTAAGGTTTAGTCGGAGTGAATGAAAACAGAATTGAGCTCCGAGTATTTTTCACTGAGATATTTAAACTCAAAAATTTTCAAAATTGGACTACCCAAAAATCGATTTTTAGTATACAGTGTAAATAAGTTCGATTAAAAAATCGGTCTTTGTTTTNATAAAAAATTTCCACTTCCTAAGTATATATTATTTATAGAATCTATTATTATATTGAAATAATATTAAATTTATGTAATTTAAATGTACTAACTTCTTAGTACTTTAGCGTCCTAGTGTTCTGGTCTAGTGGTAGAACCTAATATAAGTTATTAAAAATTTGCAAAAAAAATTCAGCCACTGGCGTGATGTAGTATCCGTATATTATTTAATTTTGCTAAAGAGAAATTTACCTAGTGCAATGTTTGTGTAACATTTGTTTTTATTATTATTTTTATTTTGTGCATGTAAACAAATAACAGGAAATAAAACAATGTAAATAGAGATCAGAAATTAGTTTTTAAAGTGAGAAATAAGAGATTGCGCCAGAATCGGCATATTCATAATACTGTTATAAAATATATTGACAACATAATTATTTTATAAAAAATGTAATAACAATTTATGTTATTAATTAATTTTTATTAATAGAGTTGTATATCTAGTCACATAGGTATACAACAATGTTATGACGTTATCATGGAGCGATAAAAATTTTCTTTGTCTCTTTTTCTTTCTTTCGTTCAAAATAAAAGTTAACGAACCGAGTTCAGTGTTACATAATTCTTTTTTTTTGGTTTCCCTAGAAATTTTCCTAATAAAATGAAAAAACGCAGGAATAATGAGATAGTGTAGGTAAATAATATATTACGGCCTTTTTTTTTTTTTTTAGACAATTCTTCGATCCGCAACTTTGATCCGACAGAAAATAATAATACTTTTCCGAAAGCAAATCTGACTGGGTTGGTACTTTTGATTTTTCCACGAGTTTTCCCAATATATAGGAAAAACCTGGGGAGAAATGAGAAAATCGGGTAAAAAGTAGGTTAAACGGGAAAACAGGTACATTATTAAACAAATATTATTATAGAAAATATATAATACATATATCGTTTTTTATTTGACGGATATATTTTCGAGAAAGCAATACTATCAATCAAACTCGGTTTTTCCGTTTTTTCGTTAGCAATGGTTAATCGTTAAACACAGATATACATCAAATTACCCCTCTACTATCTATCCAAATTTTCTCTTACAACAGGGCGCTTTAAATCTACAAAAAAACATAAAAAAAAAAAAATAATGAAAAAAAACTTGAAAAATATTTAAAAAAGTAAAATGGTAGAGTGGTTTTAATGTCTCTCCACTTACGGCCTTATATATTAAATATGCTTTTCTAATATTACACAAATCATTAACTTACTAGTTACTAACTAGTTATATTTTTTTAAAATATGTATAATTGTATTCAAACAAACTACCTTTTGTTAATCATTTGTGTTGTGTTAGAGAATTGTATTTATTAAGTTTGAGTCATTAAACAAAGGCAATTTACCCTTCTTTGTTCTTGTAATATTATTTTGAAGTACTTTTTTCATGATTTTTATGGAATAGTATCAATAATATCTAATACCTAATACTAATACTCACATAATATAATCACGATATTGGTAGTATGTTATTTTTAGCGACATTTTCGTTTTTAATATTTTGTGCAAAATCACTGGCTCTTATAATGAGAATTAATAATAAGTGAATATACCTAATTTTATTTCTGCTCTCTTTAATATTTAACTAAAGTCTGAACAATATATTTTATATAGTTTGTTATATTTTTTAAATATTATCTTTTTCCAATTCAATTTCGAATTATTTAAATTATTTTGAAAGAAATAGAAGATATTCAGCGCCTCGGCCGCGGCGCAGAGCTAAGTAAGAATAAATATCTCGTGCGTCGACAACAGCATATTACGTGAAACGGCCAACTCCTATTTAATCTGTGTAATTTTACGGAAAAGAATCCGTCTTCTCTGTAACCTATACTAAAAGATTTTGTTTTCGGTTGTTTTACGGCTCCCGGCCATGGCTACGTTCGCGGCTTTGTAGCCATATTCAGTACTATTCAATACTACACAAATAGAAAAATTGTAAAACGCTATACAATTTCGAGTTCACCGATTTTCAAGCGAATATTATTTCGTATAAACACGTACAGAATTAACCCAATTATTATTCAATTTCCACGGTTTTTTTTTCTTATTTTATAAGAAAAAGTATAAACACAACTTAGGAAGACAAAAAAAAAAAATGATAAAAATGTTTTTAAACTATTATGACCTAATAATTTATAAAATATTACGTCTTATATTAATTTGTAAAAAGTATATGAGATTTTATCAAAATATGAATAGTTTATAGAAAAATTACCATTTATACATTGTAAGCAGAGAACTTTAACTTTTGTTTTAAAAAAAAAAATTATCTCTACATCCGAATACATACGACAATATAGATTTAAAAAGTTGTAAAAAAAATTTTATCAGTCGCAATTAACGAAAAATTCGATTAAAGAATATTATTACAATTTCCTTATTATTATTTATTTAATATCAAAACATATACATATTATAAAAAACAAAGTTGAACATGTCATGTTGATACGTACTCTCTGTAAGTCATGCCTGTGGTGGGAGTAAAGATTATAACTTTATTTTGAAAATAAGCTTAATATAAATAGCACGTATGTAATCAACACAATAATAATTAATGTAATACAATATTAAGAAATAACATAACAATCTTTTCTGATGACATATTCAACATACATAATAGATTCAAATAGAGGAAATAAAAATGAAATAAACAATTAAAATGCTATAAAAGTCGGTATTATGAAACAAAAAGGAAAAAAAATAACAAAAACAAAAATTCTTAAGAAAAATTAGTCATAAGTGAAATAGTTTTTTGAACCTTTTCATTATCTCAAACTTAAATTTTAAATCGTTATCAATCACTTTCATATAGCTAGGTAGTTTATTAAATAACTGTACGTCTCTATAAACATAAAAGAATTTTATTGAATTAGTGATTGGTTTAATTAAAGTGAAATCTCCATTATTCGTATTTTTAATAGCTTATGTGTGTTTTAATTAAAATTGATTTTTTTGTCAATTGATTTTTATTAAAGCTAACCTATCATATAATTGACAAATTTTTAATGATTTAAATATTTTAACTAGATCAACTATGTCATTATTTTCATTATAAAAATGTTAAAACATTATTCGAACTACTTTTCTATGGGTCATATTTAACGGTTCTATATTCATTATCATTACTATAATAATACTTATGATTTCGTAATGGTAATGCATTTTAATGCATTACGTAATGCATACGGTTTCTTTGAAAATTAATAATAATATTTTATCGTGTCAATTAATATACATTGAAATGTTCCGAAAGTTTTTATTTATATATATTTACTGTTAAAAAAAAAAAATTGTTATCTTAATTCTTTAGATGTTCAATAAGTTTATTGATCCATAGCTGTATCACTAATTAGAAAAAAAAAATTAATCTGAGTAAAGTTAAACCTGTTTTGAAATGCCGTGATTTGTACGGTTTAACTTATTTCGCCTGTAAACTATAATCATGAAGCTCGACATTTTTTACAATAATGTACATTGGTATAAATTATGTTAAATCTCGTGTTTACGTTTTGAATATTTTTACTGCACAAAAATAATTGTATCACACATAAAACCAAAAGAAATCTAAAAAAACTTCAACAATTTCAAATGGCTATCAAATAAATCAAAAATAGCTAGATTGTGTTTCAAATTATACCACCTACAGAAATGACACAAATGACGGCAAATAACGGTTTCAATAATTTCTATAGTAATCTAAGTTATTATATAGT